AATAAAAGCCGGATTGTCTATATGGTTGAGGAAAGATGTTGTGTTCTTATATCACGCATACAAAACGCGCTCAAACACAGACTTATCTTATCGTTGAATGTTTAACTCACCATCACACTTGGATGTCGCTCTCACACACACTGGAACAACGAAAAACAAGAGCAAATTGAGGAAAAAAAAACAACCAAAGCATCGACTATTTGCCTTGCAATTTAATGGAAATATTTGCAATATATTTCCCTTTTTTGTAAGGGTTTTGTTTTCTTCTTTCGTTCGCCTCGACGTGTGGACTGATTTTACACTCTCTCTTTCCCTCGTACTTTATTCCAACACTTTCGCGCTTGTCGTGTTGCTCAAGCAGCAGCATGGGGTTTTCGATTGGCATCTAAAAGCAATCTTTATTGCAAAAAAGCAGTTGAAAAGTGTGAAATCAAGGAATTTTTTCATTGGATTCTTTGCTCGCGATGGCAACTAAACGACATAAAACTATTTATTATTTCTTATCTCAACCAAAGATTGTTTTGGGTAATTTCTCTGTGATCTGCGTGTTTTGTTGTTGTTTTCTGTGTTTCGTTGGCGTTGAACCCTCCGTAATAAACGAGCCAACGGGCGATACTGATGCGGCGATCAAATGATTTTTGATTGCTTTTTGACTTTTTCTGCATTTTTTTCCCGCTGTTGTTGTTGTTGCGAACAAGAAGGTATACTCTTTTTTTTTTCATATGTCAACTACTTTTGGCTGTGGCTATACTACTTATCGATTCGATTTTTGTGCAAGTTTCACATCATGTCATACATAATAAATAATAAAAAGCACTTAGCAGACATTGAATGCATACGATGTCGATGACTAACTGTGTGGCGAATCACGCCCCTTCAATCAACCAAACTGCAAAGTTCAACACATTCATACACATCTTGCACACGGATCAAAAGGCGAAGCAAAACGAAAGATGAGCACCGAAAAAAAATGTTCATCATATTTAATATAATACGCGGCTTTGGAAGCGTGAAAAATTGGTTTTAATTTGAATAATGAAAAAGATTTTTGAATTATGCATTCTTCTTTTTGTTAAATCGTGTTTGCTACGCATTTCTGCTCCGTCACATTCATTCGCTGTCGGTGTCTTTTGACAACAGATGGTAAATAACGTAAAATAATGCCCGTGGCCTTGAACATAAAAATTGACTTCGCGATAACCGCCCCACAAATTATACCACACACTGTTGTTCTCTCGTGTACATGTTTTGAGCTAATTTTGCCATTTGATTTATTACAATGCCATTTTGCAAAGTACTTGCTCTTTCTCTCTCTCTCTCTCTCTCTCTCTCTCTCTCTCTCTCCACCCCTCGCACGAAATCTGATAGCAGGAGACTCTCTTTTGTGTGATTTTCACTTTTGTCAAAGGAGGGATGTTTGCTACAATAAATACTTCTTCTTGTGTTTAACGCAAATCGAATGAATTTAGCCTGCTTTCAAATAAATTTGATTGACTCTCAGTGTTATTGGTCTCTGATATAATCGATGCACTTTTCAAATTATTTATTGCATTTCGCCCGAAATGAAGACCAAATAAAATGGATATGAGTCATATTGTATGAAGAAGAAGTACCAGCAAAAAAGATTCCCTTCAATACAAATATTTCATCCAGTTTTAATACACATATTGTGGTCTTCACAAAAGCGCCAATTTTCCCGGTAAAATACGATGCAATGAAAAAAAATCACGGTTGAACAAAAAAAAAGTCGTGTCGATTGTATCGCAACGGATGAAATATTCGTAAAAATCTTGAAAAATTAGTCAATTCAGTTATTAAAGCCATTATCGCAATTCCGTTTAATGGGAGGTAATAAGTTCAATGAAACACTCGTTTACCATACACACACACACACAAAAAAAACAGTCACAATATTCCAATTGTAAAATAACAACAAAAATAAAATCGCGTCGACTGTTGGTAGAGGAAGTTTGGCAGCGAGAAAAAAAATCAGTTGGTATGGCAACATGAAAAATAGCATAAAACACAGAAAGAGAGTGGAAAAAAGACTCGAACACAAAATGCTACCGTTTTATCAGCGTTTAGTGTGGTATGACGTCGCGCATTGAGAGAAAGAGAGAGAGAGAGAGAGATTGTGTCTCGTGTTACGTATTTAGTCGAGCAATTTATTCGGGAAATTGGTGAAACACATAAAAAAAGTGCCTGCGGCCAAAAATTATTACGTTTTTCTGTATATTTCAGTTCAACATGCCTCATCCCCTCGTTGCTCATGCACACACACACACACACACACACACGCACACTGCGCCCACATAATCGTTTCGCGTCGAAAAATTCAATTCGTTTCATTTTGTCATTCTCTGTGTGTATGACAATTGTGTACGCAGCACAGCCGCACACACAATTACAACAAAATGCCATAAAATTTGGGCCGATGAATTAAAGGAAATAATAAAGTGAAATGTTTTGCGATTTCTGTATCGCTACGGCGTAACGAAAGATAAGCCTGTTTTTTAAAAACTCAACACAGAAAAATCATTTTGTCTGACAGCGCAGTTTTATATTATCGCATAAAAATGTTTCGATGAAACGAGAAAAAAACGAAGAAGAAAAAAAAGAGAGTTTGAAACGATAGTGAAAAAAGTGAACAGAACAAAAAAAGAGATGCCGGAATTAAAGTCGTCATTGTGACTATGGCGTGTCTAAAATTCTCAATAGTTTGTCAGACTGAATCATACGAACATTTGCTGTTTTTTTTGCCTCGCACAGACAAAACAACACAAACTACGATCTAATTAGAAAATCGTCTTCGACAACGTCTTTGAGAGTCAAAAGTAGTTTTCAAATTTAACGATGCCACTTTGGGATTTTATCACTTTGTCCCTGGTAAAGTGGAGTGGTATGTTTTTGATGATGCTTCGATTTGTAAAAGTATCCAGCATATTGTCATGTGATTCGGGTTATTTGCTTTTATTATTGACCGTGGACAATACCGTGGCATTGCGAGTATATGTGCGTTTGTGTGTGAGAGAGAGATTCAGGAGTGTGATAAGCAACATCGCAATTGTCGCCGAAAAGCAATCAATGCAAAAGCGACGAGAACGGCAACACACATTATCACATTTTAAGTCCTTGGCTATTTTGGCAACGATGATCATAATGCCGTCATTACATCTACGCAATCTGATGCGGATGTTGAATAAAAACCGAATTTCACACACGGTCGAGATGTGAAAAAAAAAGAGAAGAACCCGAAAACACATACGCACACACACCACAATGACGCCAAACAAATAGAATGAAACGAGAACGACAGAAGAAAGTTACAGCGACTAGAAATGGTAGTGATTCCCTTTGGCTTGCCTTCAGCTTGAAATCTGATAATGAAATACGCATCTAATTGGGAATGAGTATCACATAAAAAAGCGGCACACACAAACACACATCCTATTATCGAAAACGATGGGAAAAAGGCAAAACCGAAACTGAGTTTATTTTATGTGTGAGTTTGCACGTTGCATCAATTATTCGATGTGTCGTTGTCGTTGTCGTCATTGTGAGCGTTTTATTATATTGGGCCGAATGTGAGTTTCATGCCGAACTTGAAATCATAAAGGTGAACGAAGGGAAAAAACCATAAATTCAGAGATGAGCCTAGAGAGAACTGAATGGTAGCGATAGCGTGCTCATCCTAGTCATCGTCGTCGTCGTTGTCTTCATCGGCAACAGCAGTCAGAAGTTTAATTAAATTTATTGGTTCGTTTAACACTCGCATGTATTTTACTAATGATAATGAGACACGATTGTCTACGGAATAACAATAAAATTGGAATCGATGTGATTGCACCACGGTGAAATGAGCCTGGGGATGATTCAAAAATGATTTTACCAAAAGATAATGCACACAATATTTTTTTCTATGGCATCATCCGTTTACATAACCAATAAAAGTCGAAGAAGAAACGCGAACGTTAAGTCAAGCATTCCAATTAAATTTCTCTTCATTTTCTGCTGACTTCTTTGTTCGTTCGCATGGCATACGAGAGCAGCAAATGTAGTTACTCTGGTCGATCCGCCACTAATAAAGTGTGATCCGGAATAATTTATCAGCGGTTATTACATCGCGTTTTTCTTTTCTTCAAAACTCAATGAAAGTTCGCATATTAATCATGTTTCTAGAACGGCAAAAGACGCCAAAGAAAAATTACAGACCTGATTTTTTTTTAAATTCCGAATAAATGCCGCAGCACATGCAAATATGCATATATATTCCCACTTCATTTGCCCGGTTGAATCATAAAGATTGGGTGCGTGTCCTTGAACAAAATCCTTTTGAATTGGTAAAATATGACCATGATTTGCTTTAAATCGACCAATCAAACCGAACTAAATTAAAAATATTTCGAAAAGTTTTCTTTTTCTTCAGCTTTGACAGCGGGTGTATGTGACAAATATGAGAATTATATACCCTTTTTCTGCTTTCATTGCAAAAATTGCGACAGTTTAGCAGTGATTTCGAATGAAAAGGACATTTTCTTTGAAACTGATTACATTTGCATCCGTAAGTTGCCATTAGTTATGAGAGAAAAAAAGCATAAATCTTCATTTTGGTTGAATAAATTTTTTTCCCGAGTCGATTTTTCCAATTTTGCTTGCGTAATCGGTCACGTACTCATCTTTTGCGTTCGCTCGCTTGTTTTCTCTGTTCTTCTTTTATTTTCTGGTGTACATCACTTTCTTCAATTCAGTTCAGTTTGGTTTGGTTTGGTTCGGTTCGATGGTGTAGGTAATTTATCGATGGAATTTATTCTCCATCTATCTTTTTCAGCATTTTTCATGTTCATTCTCCTTTCATTTTTACATTATTCACGTTGAGCTCTTTCTTACGGGCAAAATGACTTAAGCTAGGCCAAGAGGACCTTTTCACAATTCACAAGAAATTGACTAATTCATTTCATAATTTTTGGTTCTTTTTCTATTTTTTCTGTCTGTTTCTGCAGCTCTTCCCGAGGATCCCGAGTTTACTGATGTGATAGAGAATATCACAGTGCCGGCCGGACGAAACATAAAGCTCGCTTGCTCAGTCAAAAATCTAGGATCGTACAAGGTACATGCAAGTAGAAGCTGCAAAAAGTAGAATGAAAAAAAAATCTCATGAATTTTAAAATAAATTGATGATAGTCCTGATGCAACCTTCGACCGAAAAATTCCTAATAGGAATATGTCACAAAAAAATAACGCCATGTGATCCAACCGACAAATTGCTTTGCTCGAAAATGAACCCTGTTTACAATTTTCATTAGGATTGCGTGTGAAATGGAAGAAATATTGTTGACGCTTAAGCAATCGATTCGAATTTGTTTGACGACAAAACATTCGACGTTGTTGTACGTGAAGCGCATCGTTTTTTTCATCTTTTGGTTTCGGGCTCAAAGCATTTCGATTAACTTTGATTTCATTTGCAATCCACACTGCTCTCTTTCTCGTCGCACAAAAACACTTAAACCCACGATACGAAGTCAAAAACACTATTCAAATAAGTCTTTAACAATTGTTCTTATCTCGATGCCAAACGATTGTCAGTCCCATGTTTGATTTTTATTTAAGTTTCGAAGCCACGATTCGCTTGTTGTTTTGTTGTTATTATTGTTGTTGGCGTCGCCGCATCCCCTTTTTGCGTCACTATTTATCTCAAATAGTTAACTTAAATAGCAATAATACATTCGAAGTTCGGTTCGATCGAGATATCGTTTGATGGAATGAACGGCCAACGACATCGATTGGTTATTCACAAGCGCTCAAGAAGAGCAAAAAGGTAAAAAAACCGTAGCAGAAGGAGAAGAAGAAGAACGAAGGAAGGCATTCCTTATCGAATAATCGAATGTTTGCCAAAATTGGCCCCGAGCACACACAGTACCAAACATGAACTCAAACACTCGGTCGCAGAGTTTTGTTCTTCGATCCGAACCGAATAAGCGAACACGAACGATGCAAAGTTTTTTGTTGCGTTCGAATGAGCGCGCGTATTCATTCTCATTTGCAGAAAAAGATAGAAAATTATTTCATTTTTGTTATCATCATTACTTGAAATGAACAAACTTTTGGCGCGCTCGTTCGTTCCTTTTCTTCGCACAACAAAACAAATGAATTGAACGCGCATTAACCCGTACGCGCGCTGCAAAGAACTTCAAACAAAAATTAAATAACTTCATTCACTCTCTTCATATCACACAATGTTTCATAATAACAAAAGCGAATTAAAAACAGAAGAAAAAAAAACTCGAAAACGAATTAAATCCGAGCGCCAAAATCATCACGAAAGCAAAGCCACAATCATCTAATCATAAAAATGTAGCGGATAAATAGATTAACTGTATGCGAGTGTGTAGGTATGTGTGGATTGTTTCTTTTAAATACCCTTTTTATTCGATATGCGTGTGTGTGTGAATATAGGATGTGAATGTGGGGTGAGTTGATGTAAGCGAATTCCCGCATATTCTTCGACAGCCGTTTCCATCCATTCTCGTGTGTGATTTCATTTTCCGATGTAAACTTGCACATGTTCGCAAACATCTTTTGCCACAGGAATTCTTGACAGTGGTTGTTATTATATCAGTCGGTGTTGGAATTAATAAAAGAGCACATCGAAAGCAGCAGAAAAAAGAGAAAAAAGACTCGTGCATGAGCCATGCTCGAATAATACTTTTGTATGTTGTACATGTCGTACGTAGGGCAAAACATTCATCGGCACATAGTTAAACCAGGTACACACACATACACATATGCATGCACACTGTGAAGTCTAGCCTGTAGCGTGCCCGAATCAAAGGATGCAAAATCATGATATGAATACGTAATTTCCATTTTCGGAACCCAACCATTTTCTACTCATTCGAAATTTTCGATATCTGAAAATGGGAAATGATCAACGGCTGTAAAACATCCGCTACTATTTACTTTAATCAATCATTTGGAGAGGTACGATGCGTGCACAGGCACACAAACACACACATACTCGACCAACCCCAAGTCATTTGCATTTTCAATTCAGATTAGTGTTGGTGGAACATCGAACTGTTCGATGTATTGAAATCCAATTAACGTTTGAAAAACTTTCACCCCAAACAAATGCCATCAAAATTGGACGCATTTTTAGGGGAGACGTTTGCTGAGAGCAATTGTTTTAATATTATAAGCCAGACACCTTTTTTTCTATATGTACAAAACGGATTTGATTCGTCGACTCTCAGACGCTCCCAATGGAGTGTGTGTTTTTCACTTGACTATTTTCGGTGTTAAAAAGGTAGACGACGGTGTTCGTTTTGAAAATGCCAGAAAATAGCATCAACCGTTTATAAATATTTTCCCACACCGTGGAGCTGCAGAGTGTGTTGAAATCAGCTTGATAATCGGGAAAATCACAGCAGTGCGAATTTGTTGCTCTTGATATCAACAGATTTAAACGTATATCGACGTGTTTTTGTTAGTTTTTTTTCGCCTGGAAACGACCCGAGTGTTTGTTTGTTCGTTGCTGATGCTATCTGATCTAACAGGTACGAATCATGGCAATTCATGGGAAATATTCGTTTTATATTAGCTTGTTCACGCTGTGCTTGCGGAAAACCCAAAAAGCCACAATATACATTTGTGCGTCACGAAAAGTACGGGTCCATATTTTCCACTCTCACACTCTGCCACACACATAAAATAAGTGGGCCAATCAACAAACTAATTTGACATGTCATTCAAAGATGAGCTATCATCAGTCAATCAATATAGCTGCCGAAATTCATTTGTGCGCACGGTCGTAAAATCTTCGCCGTTTAGGCAACGCGGCGTTTTGATGAATCGATGTCGACAAAAAAAAATATCGTGCCTGATGAAACAGATCATCATTAAATATTTAAAGAAAATCGTTTTTGGACGGTGACATATTGCCATACACTCGGCAAGCCGATGTAAACAAGCGGGGAAATGATGCCAATGTTGTACGGTTGACATTGTTAATATACTTGCATAGCGAAAATATCACTTCCTACATCCTTAATTTTTATGTGTTTGCTTAAGTCACTGTTTTGGCAGCAGTAGTAGCAAACACAGCAGCAAGGCTACACGAAAAAAAATGCTGTGTTTGCCATGGCTTTTGTATATGTTTGTTTTTCGTGTTGATTTCATCTCTTGTCAAACAATTTGCTTATTCAAATGCATCTCGTGCACACGTATGTGATGCTAAATGAAAAGACTTTTAATCTGTTTACAGGAGTGGTGAATGTGGCCTGAATTCGATTATGAGCGAAAGTGAACAGATAAAAATACGAAAATCGAACGTGTAAACAGAGCATAAATTTCCAATGTGGGGAAAAAACCATTGATTTTACTGCGTACATGAAAAAAAAAACAAAAAAATACGAACGCAGCCAAACTCATTTTCACTTTCAAACACACACACACACAACAATACATCTTTCGCGCGTGCATGTTTCTCATTTCATTCAAACTTGTGCCAAAATTGACAATAGATGATTCATAATCATTAAAAACATATTATGACATGACACAACACCCACAATAGAATGAAAATTATCCGTTTTGTATACACACGTTTGTTGACGAGCACCGCATACAATTTCTCTCTTTTTTTTCGGTCTCTGTTTCTCGGGGGTGTAAATAGACTGACGGTTGTCGTTGCGTTTTGTTGTGGGTGCTGTTGTTGGTCGACAAACAAGAGATGGATGTGAATGTTATACTTCATTTTATCACTGATGTCACCACCGTTGCCATTCATCTCTCACCAGCTCGACGACGAAAATGCTTACCTGCTTAAATGAAGCGAATTCCGTTGGAAAATCAAGTAAAAGCAAAAGTTATTATGCAGACAGTACACATTGACTACTAGCACCCGGCAGCATCAGCAACATCACCATCATTATGGCCCAAAAATTTCGGTGAGGTTTTTTATTTGCAGCAAAAGAAAAACAACATGTTCAAATCACACACACACACACACACTATACCGCACCTGAGAACTGTCGTCATTGGAAGGGAATTTAAAGGAAAATGCCGGCGACGAAAAGAAAAACGCCAACGAACGAACAAACGACGACCATAGTGTAGAAAAATTTGCGAGATAGGGAATGGAAAATAAATGACAAGAAAAATTCTTTCGCCGAAAAAGTAACGAACAAAACGAATTGATGAAACGATGAAAAAAAAAACCGTGCGGCAAAAAGTCTGAGGATGGGAGAGAGGGATCGAGCTGAAAACTCCATGGAGCAATATTGTTGAAGAAAGAAAAAAATGAACTTCATTAATTTTCCTTTTTGTCATGTGTTGATAATTCGTGTGTCGCAAAGTAAACGTCATCGGCTCTTTCAGCGACGTCGGTCGCTGTTGCTGCTGCTGCTTTTCAACATAATTTTTCGCAATTCATCTATTGTTGAAAAATGTCGGGTTTATTTTTGCGGGTTTGCTTTATTTTCGGCGACACACACTGAAGCGCAGATGCATCTCGTCATACTATCGCGACACGCACACATACCCTGACGTATAATGTAATGACACTCTTACGCGTACTCGAGCACAAAGTCAGTCGCGCGCTCTGTCGCTCATTCTCTTCTCTCAGACTGTGTGTACACTGTACAAAAGTCACATTATAGATACTTTGTTATGCTAATCATACACTCGCCTCTGTAACAACATTACTTTGGGCTTCTTTTGTTGTTGCCTTGGTTGGCATTTTTGCATCGCAAATTTTTTGTTTCTTTCCTTCGTTCACCGTTTGCCCTCCGAAAAGTGTGTGTGTGTGTGTGTGTGTGTACTTTTGTGCTGGCAAACGTTAGCACTTCTAATGTTCTGACTCAAAATTGGCTTCGGGTGTTTATAAGCTTTGCTTTTTGTGTGTTTTATTTCTTCTTTTTTCTCTTTCTCTCTAACACACACACACACATACAGTGATGTGTGCTATTTCTCATTCGAGCTTGAGCTTGAGCGCGACGACAGCTGCCCCCAAAGAAAATCATCGTTGCAATCATCATTGCGATTTGTGTGTAAAAATGAATAAGTGTATGTGTGTTTTGTACACGCGTTTCGCTCCGAAAAATATGCTCCACTCGAAAAATGAAGTGAAATGTATTCCATTGCACGAGTTCATATATATACACACACACTTAAAATATTTAAGCCGATTGTACAGCGAGATAGAGCAGGTTCGCTGCTTTTAACGATATTCCAAAAGTACACAAGAGCTGAACATTTCTGACTGCTTGAAAATTTACACTCACACTACAAATTACATATTATCTCTCACCGAATAAAACATTCAAATTAGGGATTTTCGTTACGTTTATCACACACATATTTTGTCTTTTCGTCGATTCGGTCGGTCGGTACCATCAACATGGCACATACCACACAGAGACTCACACAACAAGAAGCTGTGTAAACTGTGATTCGATGATGAGGTGTATCCTAGAAGCATGTTGATAACTTGAGAAATGCTTTCTGAATCATTTTTGATTTTCCTCCCGAAATTTATTTCAAGTTCAATGCATACGATGATGGAAGCAAGTGAAGCGCATCTGTCCGATTAAAATGGGAACGGACAGTGTAATTGGAATTGTGAAATCAAAACATTCGACGGAAAAATCGGATTTTCGAAACACAATGATATGTCCCAAAGTCGGAGAGAGAGAAAGTATCCAACGCGCCAGCGATTTGTCAAAACTCTTGTCGAATGGAAGAACGTGCTCGAGGAAAATAGATAACCGACGGAGAAAGAGAGAAATAAAAAAAAACAACATGAAGACGAACTAAAATATGCACAACTATTTTGAATACGCTTTCGATTTATCTTCATTTCACTTTTTAGTACGAATAAAGATGCAAATTTGCATTCGTTGCCATTCGGTGTGTGCGTGTGTGTGTGTGTGTGTTGTTTGGAAGATTTGTTCGCAACGGGATGATGTGCTTCGAACACGTCGGATATTTTCAAGCATGAAACATGCATACAACCGTACATTGAACTTGATAAGATTTCCCCTTTTTTTCCTTAGTTCGGCTGTCTTCCCATTGTTCCATTCCGATATTCTATTTTTTTGTGTTTGCATAAATGTTGAAAAGCATCACCAAATAACAACAACAATCGGCCCGGTTGAATTGTTTCCAATGCTTGACTTGAAAATATAAAATCAATATGTCACAAGTGGTAACACGTCTTTGCACTATAATGAAAAAAGAAGAAACGGGCAAGAAAATGCGAACGATGAGACGATTCGTATTTCATTTGAGATTTTCGAGGCTGAATTTCCTTAGAAACCAGATAATGATGAATGGATTGAAGAATGATCCGCATTGCAAACACACCAACCGATTCCGATGAATGGGAAGACGAGTTGCATGGTGAACAAATACGTTTCACGTGCACCGTAAGCATGATAAATTATTGACGACAACGACGACGACGACAAAGACGATGAACGCTCCGAAGAGAGTTATATTGAGGATTGAGGTGCAAAAGCACCCGATTACTCCAGAAAGCCAGATGGAATGTAGATTGCTTGGAATTTAAACGTTGCTCGGTTTTTCCGATCTTTCTGTCTCTCTTTCACTCTCTCGACGATGGAGACAGAGAGGAGGATTTTTGCGTCATGGAAAACGTGCGATTTCATGCTCGATAAAGATGAACAACGTGCAGACAGGCAATGATTTCACAGCTATCGACAAATCGCATTCGTAATTCCAATCATATTACAAATTTAGTGCTTCACTCGCTTTAAATCCGAACCACACACCCACCACCGATCGGCTATAACAAACTAAACTCAACTAAACGATACTGATGGATATTTAATGCTCTTGTTACAAATTTGACCAGGTATTTTCACTCACATTGCTTAGTTTATGTGGTTGTCACATATTGTATTACATGTTGGATCACATGGCCACATCAAATAACAAAGTCATCTAAAGTCTTCACTTCATTTGACCATTCTGCCACATATCACATGTCCACCCTCACATCGAAGACAAATCGATTTGTTAACACGAATCATTTATGTTCATCTCTTCATCATTGTTTTTTCTTGTCTTTTTTCTCTCTGTTCTAGGTAGCTTGGATTCATTTCGAGGTCAGTTCAGTGGTCCAAAACAAGAGACATTCTTCATACAATTTGACTTTGATTATCTAAAAATGAAATGCGATTAGCTAAAGCGATGTTGTGCTTCTTTTTTTTTAGCAATCAGCAATTTTGACCGTTCACAATCATGTAATCACTCGAAATCCACGGATCAGTGTAACGCATGATAAACACGATAAGCATCGCACATGGTTCTTGCACATAAACAATGTCAAAGAGGAAGATCACGGCAGATATATGTGTCAAATCAACACGGTTACGGCGAAAACACAATTCGGCTATGTCCATGTTGTCGGTAAGTTGATGCGTTCTCTGTTCTCACCACCACTTTCATTTCCAGAAGGGGACCACGCTATTGTCTCTTTTTCAAAACCCAAATCGAAATGTACTCGCCTTCAATGGAATTCGACCATTTCTTTTCATTCGAGAATTGGAATGAGAAAGGCAGAGAAAAAAAAGTACTTAGATGCATTGCCAACCATTGGTGTGTAACCGGATACTTTAAGCGTTCATTTTCCTTTTCACAATTGCAATCTTTTGAAGGACAGCACACTCACAGAAAAAAAAACCCGACTCGACGAAATGCATGCGCTTGCAAAAACTTACGAAACTAAGCCATTTGAAAATGGATCGTCTTTTTTTTCGTTATCCGCTTTTGTCGACTGCGGTTATACCAATTTATCGTTCAGAAGAAGAAGGGAAGGAAAAAAACGACCATTGAAATGGCCAAGACGCAAAAAAGCAGCCGTTGGTGCAAAAATGTTGAAAACAAGTGTAGTTTGCGGCAATGTTTGAGTGTTTTTATTGTTGCGTTGAGCATTGTCTGGCAACCGGATTTGTTTATTTTTTTTTTCGGGCGGTGGGTTGAGGACAGGAAGATTGCACATAATTTTATAAATAATAAACTAATTAAATGATTCCGCAGTTTCTTTTTCTTCTCCACCAACCAACAATAATGGCTTGTTTTACTATAGAACTAGTATCCAGAATTTATGTCAAGAATTCAATTGTTCCATACACTTACTGGCAGTGTACACATTCAAAAGCTACTTTCAGAGAGCCTGGCTCGAACTGCTAATTAATTTTTAATAGATTTTTTCAAAAACCAACGAAATACCAACTGAATATGCAAATTTCCAGCGTGCATTCAATGTGATAAAATGGGGAAATGAGAAAGTGAAGATGCATTTGACAAACTATTTGCAATGTCGAAATGAGACACTACAAACAGAAGAAATGAAAATGACAACAATGGAAACATGATGTTGTGATTAAAAAGCAGCAGCACGCGGATGGAAAGCGAGAAATTAAGCGTTACGTTATAACAGTTTTGTTATGATGATTGTTGTACAGATTCTGCTGAATACAAACTGTACTCCACACAGTGCTCAAAATGCACGATTTTCCATTTTTCGGTCGTTCGTTTTGCGCCCGTTTTCACCGATGAAGATAATTTGTTTAATAGGTACTCAAGACATCTGCATAAAAGGTTTTGCTGCACTTCGACTCTATCGAAAAACTTGGAAGTGAATTGTGTGGACGATACAAAAACAACACCACCGTAAAAATGAAAGGAAACAACTTACGAAAATCCCACAAAACTTTTCCCAATGAACAGCATACTTTTGTCGTCATTGTTGCTTTTCATTCACTCGATGAGCAAACCTTTCATTCAGGTCAGGTTTTTGTTGTTGTTGTTACGGTTGATGTTGTGACGCCATTTGGTGCTGTTGAGCCATTTCGATTTTATGCTGCACAAAATCTTGTCGCATTCTTCGTCCGTGTTTTCATTCTCGCCGCTCGGAAAACATTTTAATATAAATAAATTACATTTTTGTGGACTCAATGTCGCAATTATCATTTATCATCGCTGGAACACGGGCGCTCATTCGCCAAGCACTCATTTCAACCATCGCAACGAGACAGAAAAAAAGCTCTCATTCATTTCAACGTGTGTCGTCGTTTTTTTTTCCACTCATTGAAACTTGTTTCCATTGAATGAAGTTTATGGCGGCTGAATGGTAAAAAGTGAAAAAAATCGGAGTACAAAAAAAGTGAATACAAAAATGCATTTTCTCCGGCATCAACTTAATGAAGTCAGGTTAAGTGAAGAAAAATTCCAATGGGAAAACGTCTCCTCAATTAAGCAAGTGATGATTCTAACTTCATTTTTATTTCTCTCCACCTCTCTCTCTCTCTCTCTCTCTCTCTCTCTCTCTCTTTCTCTGCCTCTCTCATTCTATACAAATTATAATGATATAAAAACCAAGGAAGAGAAAAAAAAATTCAATTTTCCGCCGCTCAAAATGGCGAACGTGTTGAAATTGTAATACGACACCAAAAAAATAATTGAATTATTTCGGTGAATTGGTAGCGAGGCAACACTCGCCGATCAGGCCAAATGCGATGCATAATTGTTGAAATAATGGAAAACTAATCTCGATAAATCGTGGTTTGTGACCAACTGACTGTGCTGGCTGTCACCAATGCAAACACAATGACTAACTTACGTTTAATAACTAATGGCCATCAATGTCGCGCGCTCGTTGCACGCTCTGCACTCGATCCCACGGCATAGCAAACGTACGTGTGTGTGAGCTTTTTTGCTTAACTTCGGTTCGTTATTGTTGGATACTGGTTTCGATAAAACGCAGATTTGTTGTTTCAATACATGCGCTGTCGATTTTTCGACTATTTTTTTTTTCTCTTTGTCCTGTGTGTTTGCGAGGTTTGCTGATACAAATTTATGGAATGGACGAGTGAAACTTTTGCAAAACCCAAAAGAGAAATTACTGGCAGAATTCAATTTAACCATGTTCGACCATTCGAAATCGAGCAACGTCCAAACATTTTCCAAAATGCACACAAACCGAAAGCGGGCAAAAAAAAGAATTCGAATGCGTTTCACATAGTCGAAATGAGGAAGTCTCGTGTGCACAAAACCATCGAGGAAAAAGTCATTGTGTCGCCGCGACTCGTTCGACATTTGACAGCATAATAATTTTCGAAATTACATTAGTTTAATCAAACTTTTCTATTAAAAAAGTTTATTTTTTTCCGCTCTAGTATTCGGAGTGTAGTTTGGACGAATGTCATTCAATCGAGTTTTGGTTTTTGGTGTGATTCCCGGATTTTTGTTCTTTTTTCCGTCGGAAAATCTGTGTATGAAAACAAAACACATTCACACTCGCGCACACACACACAATGAAAACATTAATGGCACTTTTTTAGATCCATTCGATTTCGTGAACAATCGATTTGGTTGCTGTGTCTTGCGAGGCAAATCGAAATCGAAAAAAAAAACGGGCCGTGCACAGTAATCAGATTGGTGTTGAGAGCAAACGCTTGTCTACCAGTGAACTCGAATAATTCAACTCTTCGTTCTATTTTATTTATTGATTTCGATTATGAAAATTTATGGGAATGTGTGCTCACACTGGCAAAAATCGTACTGTGGTGCGATTCATTGTGTCGCTGCTATGCCGTTGCTCTGCTTTTACTGCTGACGTCGTCGCCGTTGGTGGCTGTTATTTACATTGCGAGTCATCGTACATTATATCAAATCAAAAATTATGATTATTTGTTCAGTTGGTGAACATTGAAATGACCACTTTTTTGGCATTAACATCGTTGTGGGGACAAACTGTTGTAGCCAGGCACCAGAACTTGAGTTTGTGCTCGGTTGGGATTTATGACAGAGTTTTTTCGGGATCACAATGTCTAATAAGCTGCTCGAATGAAGCGAAAAGATGTTAAAACATTACGTATATGTGTTTTTTTCCCTTTCTCTCTCTCTGCATCTACTGCATCTAGTGCCGCCGAATATCGAAGATTCCTTGACTTCAACTGATGTTGTAGCTCGTGAGGGTTCGAATGTTACATTGAAATGCAAAGCGAGGTAAATTTTTTTTTAGATCAATTTTCATCCATATCTAAACCATGAACTATTCTTCTTTTTTTTCGTCGCTCATGAAGTGGATCTCCAAATCCTGGTATAAAATGGAAAAGGTACGTAACCAGATCAATTTTCATACATGGACCCACCATCTAAAACCATGAACTGTTCTGTTTTTTTTTTCTCTTCGCCCATTTGACCATCCACAGGGACGACAACAATAAAATATCAATTAGCAAGGGCTTAAGTGGTTAGTATCGATCGAGTTTGCATTATCATATTTCACATAAAAGTATCAATTTATCCAATTTTGCTTGTGTTCGCATGACGAATGTTTGTGTGTGCGTGCGTGCACCGTCCACAGTTACGGAATGGGAAGGTGAAATTTTGGAAATTGCTCGCATATCGCGTTTGGATATGTCGGCTTATTTGTGTATTGCATCGAATGGCGTCCCGCCGAGTGTGTCGAAACGCATTAAAGTCAGCGTCGATTGTGAGTATTCATGCCTGATGACTTATTTGGCATCGTTCCAAAAAAAAATGGTCAAATATGACTTTTTCGCAACTGTTCCGGTTGTTGTTGTTGTTGTTGTCGTTTTTTGCTCATTGCATATTTGCCATGTCATTTTTTTCTCCGTTTTATAGTTCCACCAATGGTTTGGATCCCACAGCAGCTCGTCGGCACACCCGTTGGATACAACATTACGCTAGAATGCTTCATCGAAGCATATCCAATATCGCTGAATTATTGGTCAAAAGATGATGGCGATATGATACACGATTCCAACAAATACAAGTGAGTACATGCAAAAAAGCATTCAAATTAGGCCAATTCTCTTCCTTTTCCCCTTGTGCTAGCCAAATTTATTTCCGTCTGAGTAGTATCTTATTGTTGCCAGTTTTTTCTTCATTCAGTTGAATTTTTCAGCTCAAAGCGCAAAGTTGTCCTGGTTTCCTTCGGGGGAATAACACAATTTTATTATAGTACATGTTCCACTTTCAAAAGAATAACACTGTTTCGAATAATAACAAAAATTTACTTCTTTGTTAAATTATTACGTTTGAAATTTCATTCCACAGAACTGATACCGTTATCAATCGGCCATCGTACAAGTCGACGATGCGCTTAACCATCAGCAATGTTCATAAAAACGACTACGGTATGTACAAGTGCGTTGCGAAGAATCCACGCGGTGAAACAGATGGCACAATTCGTCTGTATTGTGAGTATATTCAAGACATCATTTATATACGTGTATTTCTTCATTTCTTTTTCCCCGGCGCAGTCAAGTGTTCGCGACGGTGTAAATTCAATTAGGAACTGTGTTTAAGCGAAATTTGTCTGAAATTCAAAATCATTTTCCGTTCATTACGTGGATTTGTCGAATGAAAATTCACATGTTGACGATGGCGTATGAAAATTCTCATGATTATCTATGGATTCACGGTGAATCATTCAACTGCTTGACGACAACCGAATAAGCCATGGATTATGGCAACCTTGACATTACCAAAGCACGTTTTTTTTTCTGAAGAAGAAATTCTTAACGAAGCACCGTTTTTTATCGACTCATTGTTCAACCAGCGTTTTTCTTAAGTTTATTTGGGAGTTCATAAATCATACATCGAATTGATGTATTTTTTCATTTTCTCGACGAAAAAAACCAAAATGGTTTTTACTTCAATTTTTGATATATAATATCCAGTATCTTGATAATATCTCAAGTCTTGCTGACTCTTTGTGGCTACATTTACGTTAAGATCAAACCAATATTTTTGCATGCGTTGCAATTGAATTCGTTTTTTCTTTCCTTTCCAAAAGTTCTGTGTCTCCTTCGATTTTTTTTTATCTATCAAACGGAATTTTCCTAAACAATGCCATCGAATGGCGTCCTGTTGAGTGTATCGAAATGCCATCTACGTGCTCACACGCAATCGAATTTATGTTGAACGGGAAATACATCAAATGAAAAGTAAACATGCTTGAGCAATTGATTTCCATGTAAAAAAAACTTCCGTGCGGCCCATATGTCATATGGAAATGATGTGCTTTCCAACGCGTCTACATATGTTCTTCTCTTTTTTCTATTTATCGAGAAATGGATTTGATCCGCTTTGGATGTATTGGTACAGAGATTGGATTGGGGGTTTGTTTAACAAGACTTAAAGTTTGTTTACGTTGATGTGGAATCCGGTTATCCAGGGCAACGAAAGCCGAATAAGTGCCAAATTCAGCAGAGAATTCGCAAAAGCAGTATTTATTTTTAATTTTCTACAAAAAAAGCAAAGAAATGCCCTTTTTCCAAATGTAAACAGCAGGATGTTGGCAATGCTCGTAAGAGCAACCAGAAAAAGAAGCAAACGGGTGCCTTCGTTCAGCCAAAACAACAATAATTACGTTAATGCGTCAACAAAAATCAAATTGAATACATATTGGATGACGCTGATGCGACGACGGTCAAATTGCTGTTTCCTCAATGACAAAGTTATTTTGATTATTTCGTATTGTTGATATTAATAAATGTATGGGCTATGTGTGTGGATACACAATGTAATTTTTATCGATTCTCTAATCATCAAACTTGACGAAACCTAATTGAAACAAATAACTTATTTGTAATTGAGTTTTATTCAATGTGTTTTTTTTTCTTCGTTTATTCATTAATGGTATAGCTTCGAGTCCACCAACCACACTAGCACCACCGCCAACAACAACATCTGAGCGGCCGTTCCCCGATATTCAACCGAAAAATATTTTCGAAACACCAATTTTCCGCCAAAGAGATAACACCACCATTCAATTCACCGACAAAGGTAACCAGCATATAATTTTATGCGCTTTGTTTTGGGTTCATTATTCCTGATTTACCGTAATTACATCGGTCAATTTTATTCAATATTCCGATATGTACAGTACACAACGATTTTCACATTAGTTGACGATTAACAGAGAACAAATGAATGAATGAATGAAGAATTGTTAACACTGGCTCTTCTTTCAGGCTTAAAATATCAATCAAATCTCAACGAAATAGACAAATCCGAGCAAAAGTCACAAGGTGACAGCTCCAGCAAGGTGTTTGAATGGCCTTCTAAAGATGAATCTCATGCTGCTAGTAAGTGCTTTCAATTGATTTTAGCCAACTATCTAGGATGTCATGAAGAATTTTAAAATCAATTCGAAGATTATTCATTCATTTTGAATCATTTTTCATTCAAAATTTCGTACTAAAACTTCAGAGAAAAAGAAGAAGTCCATTTTTATACCTTTCATTTTCTTCTTCTTTTTTCTTTTTACCCGTTCGTTACTAGGCGGTGCCTCGTCAGTCAGTGGTGTACAAAGAGTATCAAAATCGATCGGCTCTTTCGTGACATACCGAATTCCAATATTGTTAACCATTTTGGCGATTGCAATGACATAATCATTAATACTGTTATTAGCCTAAAGAACGCATAAATGGGTAATTTTTATGAGCTCAAACACACGAATACACACAAACCCACAACCACAATTACCAACTAACGAATATTTATGCAAACCTATTTTATGTATTGTAAATAAGAAGTTAACTCATGTAGCGGACTGTAGTTAAATGATACAATTTCTAGATGGCATGCACAAGCAACAATAACAACAACAAAAACAGTAACAGCCCAAGAGAAACGGCCAATATGTTTATACGCTGTCTATCCGCCGAAAATACACTGCAATATATTCACGCTTATTGGACGCCAAATTCAATATATATTCTAGTGTATTTCAGTCACTCCACATGCTCGTCGTTTTGTTCAATTTGAGAGTACTAAGTTTCCGTGAGTGATACGCAAGATGGCAGCACCTTAAATGGCGTTTTTATACACAAAGTAGATACTTGAGTGTAAATTATTATGTTAGTGGCGTATCAAAATGAAGGTTTAAAAAAAATACATTGTCAATATAGAGCGTGTGGTGTGACTGGTGTATTTTCGGCGTATTCTTCAGCGTGAAACATATTCAGGCGCCCTCTGATGGCCATGAATGCATTCATTGATTCAATATGTTTCACGCTGAAGATTACACCGAATATACACTAGAATATATATTCAATTCGGCGTCCAATAAGCGTGAATATATATTGTAGTGTATTTTTGGCGGATAGACAGCGTATAAAGATATTGGCTGTTTCTCTTGGGAGTAACAACCATAAACACACAAAAAAAACACATTGTTTAGATTGTAAGGGTACTAATTAATTATAATAATAGCAGATCACAAGAAATCAAATGTTATCAAATATTGAATCCAATTGCCAAAATCAAGAGATTGCCAATTGTAAACTGTAAAATGATTTCTGTTCTGTGGCCAATGGCCAATAGCTTGAGAGATCTGAATTGCACGTAGAAATATCCTAAAATATTTGCTCAGGTAAGTTAAGATACAATTTCATTTCCAACCCATAAAAAAGTCGAATCATAATGACAACATATGCTCGATACAAGCCCAGGTTTCTTTTTTGCACAATTCAATTCGATTCTCGAACGAAAGAACAAGAGTAAGTGTGTGACTTCGAAACTGATTTGTTGTCAAGTTTTACGAAGGTAAAAAAAAAATTCTGGTCGGACTCAAACAGAAAATTAAAAAGAAATCGAAATCTGTGTAAATAGCGATTTTGTTTGATCTTTTGACGGTTTTGATTTGTTTCGTAGTGCAAAGTATTTTGAAGAAAAAAAAACCATTAACAAAAATTAGTTAAATTTAATGATAAAAAAGTATATATCTACTATAGCGGTTAATGTATTTCCAGGGCTTGTTAAGAGAGATTTATGAGATTATTTTTTAAATGTTCAGCTTCAATAGAAATGATTTTCTTTTAAAATTTAATTGCCTAATTGAACGAAAAAACAATCGGAACAAATATTCGTTTTCATTCGCATATTCTATTTGAAAAATAAAAAGTAATATCGATGTTTATGAATTGTTAATTTTTATTGCAACTAAAATCATTTGCATCATCCTCCTAAAAAAAAGAACAATACATAACAAAAAGACCCGCAATAATTACTGATTAATTATACACTTAAAACTAATCGAAACTACACACAGAGCATTGAAGCTGCTGCATATATATTTGCTGCTGGTGAACAGATCTGTTCGACAGCAGCTGTTGCTTGCATGCATATTCGCTGTGAAGCACGTTCGTTCATGTATCGATTCTCGCGCACAATGTTTGTCTCTTTCATTCACATGGAACCAGACAGAGAAGCATACAGAACACACGAGATACATCGTAAGCGACGCGCGCGTGCACACTCATAGCTGCCGTTCGCGCCTCGTGTGTTTCATACTCTTCTCTGTCTGGTTCCGTGTGAATGAAAGAGACAAACACTGTGCGCGAGAATCGATACATACATGAACAAACGTGCTTCACAGCGAATATGCACGCAAGCAACAGCTGCTGTCGAACAGATCTGTTCACCAGCAGCAAATATATATGCAGCAGCTTCAATGCTCTGACTACACAAGCCCCGGCTAATTCAAATAATATGATATTGTAACAAGAAATAATCGATGAATCATATTGGAAAATCCAAACGGAACTTGACCATAAGAATGTAATAATTCAGATGAAAGAAGAAGATGATGATGAATAAAAAAAAATTGTGTACGGATCGCTAATGATTTCTCAATAAAACACTCATTTACCAATAAAAAAAAAGCGGCTGTTTTCTTCTTTTCGGTATAATTTTCGGAAAATAATTGCTTCTAAAAAACGCGCTACAATGGGATTCATGCTGCATCGAATGGAACAAAATGGTCAATTGACTCGAACGATTTGTTTATCCCTTGGAATCTCATTCGAAGCCGTTGCATGCATAACCAGATTTAATCGCAAAATGATGGTAAATCGCCTTAACGTCTCCATATATGCTGCTGCCCTGTGTGTGTGTGTTCTTTTTTTCTTCAATCATCATTTTTTCTCATCCTGTGCTTATCGCTGACGTTTTCTCTACCATGCTGCGCTTGGTAAATTGGTTACTACGAATCGATAACTATTCAAACGATGAAAACGTATTGGTTATTGTATGAAAAATTAATTTTCCGCTTGCACAATTTCATATCATATCACGGAGCTGGTGTTCGCTTTGATGAGTTCCATCCAAAATGAAAATTTAATTTAGTGGAGTCTTTCATGCGGTTTTCTTCAGCTGGACAATGCCACTGAATCGAGAAAGGGATTGAATTGAAACGACCCGTCGAAATAAGTTGTGTGTGTCGGTCGGTGTGTGTGTGTGTGTGTTTTGAACATCACAATTGGTGAGCATATATCGTGTGTGCGTTGTCCAAGCATTTGAGCACTCGGCTCATTGTTTGACCATTTCATGTCATCGTAATGACATTTTGTTGTCATGCATATCACATGGTGTCTGGTTGTTGCAAGCGGAAAAATCAATTATAATGCCTAGTGACCTGTATTCAACAAGTTTTCCATTTACTGACCGCACAAAAGGACGTATCCGGAGTGTGTCTTTGTTTTTACCCGTTTATCTTGTTGATTGCAGCAACCGAAAAGCAACTAACTTTATCGCTCTTTGTGTGCGTGTGTATTCAAATGGCCACCAGGTTTAATGAAAGTTTCTCTGCACAGCCCAAAACAATGCCACGGCTTCTTATTTGCAAATTCATAATATTCGTAGTCGCATTATCGTAACGGCACAGGCAGTAAAATGTAGATTGCGTTTTATGAACGAACCGACCGACTTGCAGTAAAAAAAAAAATTGGTGTGCAGTATTCCTTTGTTGAAGCCTTAAACAATAAATGTGATGCGACTTTTCGCTATACACAGCAAAATGCGCTCGCAATGATTGAAACGGGCATGTTTTAATAAAGTGCAATTTCATGGGTGGCTTTTTGATATGCGACGGTAGCGTGCTCGAATAAACAAATGACGATCCACGGCTAAGTTTTTCACTTTTACTGTTTTATGGCTAATTTTGAAATGAATATTTACTTTAAAACGACGACTCCACTCGGCGTGCACTCATCTATTCATTATTATTATTATCATCTATTTCACGATCTATATTAAAGGCCATAATGGTATTTTCGCCCTAAAGCCAAATAATCTTCATCCTTTTCACCTACTATTTACCTCTCACCCTGGATTTTCAAGCAGCTCAAGTTCAAAACCGCTTTTATCTCGCACGAAAAGCGAGCACAGCGGGGAGAGAGAGAAAAAAGCATAGCCGTACATTTTCAACCGTTATTTTTCGACGTTGCCCTGAGGTTTTGCGCACGAGAATATACACGCTTTGATTGCAATGTGCCAAACTTCATTTCATATTTGAACGGTGCACAGTGTATGTAACATGTTACTCGTCGAACGCTCTCGCATGTTTACCTTCCGCAAAGCGAAGAAAACGAATTTTCGCAATTTCGTTTAATGGTGTTTTCAGATTTTGAACCAGAGCATAGCACAAGTGCGCCACTTGATCTCTCCCAAACATATAATAATGTGACATTCGTTGGAATTGGATTGAGTACAAACGGGGAGAGCAAACGTTGAACCACTGCGAAAATTACGAAGAAGAAAGAGCAGAAGATTCCCGACACTTGAGACAACATACAAGGCAAGCCGAATGAAAATCTGAAAATGCTCAAGCATTGTTGAGACCAAATTAATTGGAGAACATTACCTGCATTCAGGATACAAATGAATGGAAACAGCATATTTGACAAGCAAATTATTATGATTTTAGCTTGAAGTTACTCCCATTGATTATCGCACACTTGGTCCAATTCAAGTTCATTTACGGCAAACTTTTTGACATAAATTACGCGCGAACTTCGGTGAGTGTCATTTTATTATTTGCTCGTCTCAAGACTTTTACCATTTTCGCCAAAAGTATATTCTTCCTATTAAATTTGAAAGTAGTTTTGCTGAGTGATATTTTTTGAATTTAATTGAATTATTCAGAGTTAAAAATCATGGAAGGTTCAAAAGTTTTAACAAAAACAAAAATCAATTCAATGAAAAAAAAAGGATTCGCAATGTGTTCAATGAACACTGTTCATGTCATTTGAACCGATTTAACGCTTTAAATTTATCATTGGTGACATTTCCATTGAGCCGCTTTTAATTGGAATTAAATTTTCCGATGCCTTGGGATGTGCTTTTGCATCTCGTTTCAAACTTTAATCGAATGTCAAATGATGCAATCAAAAAGTTGTAATCAGCGCCGGGAATTGTTGGCTACCAATGCGTTTGACAGAGATATTATTCAAGCTTTGATTCGGAAAACCGTAGGTTTTTCGCCGAATAGCCATTGGCTAAAGTTTTAATCATTTTCCATGAAATGTTTTGCTTCCATAAAAGCCATCCAATTGGCTTCTATTTGATTGAGAAATTCCCTTCAATCGCACAAAGCTGAATTTATATGTTAATAAATAAACAAAGGCCTCATATTTTTCGTAATCAAACTTCATGGCATTTTCCATTCTCGGAATGGCGCGGTTGTTTTTATTTTGGCGTATTTTATAGAACGAATGAAAAAAAGTATGCTAATCCAACTGGTTTTGTTGATGACGGAAATCAAATATTTGTGGTGCGGATCGCATTGAAATCAAGTCTGAGTTGTGACGTCGGTGCAGTGTGCCGTTGTCATGGATTGACTGGAATGTTTGTTTGTGTGACAATAAAAAAAAAAATGGAAAAAAAGAGACGAAAAAGGAAAAAAAACCAAACTTCAAAATTCGAAGGAAAAAAAAACAACAACGGAAAAATCCAGAAAGAAAAGCATTGAGAATTGTCGCTTATTTCATCATCCGTGGAGGTCAGTATGTGAGCGTTGAGATAGTGAGAGAGAGAGAGAGTGGTTGGTTGGTTGACTATCGTCGTTACTTTGAAATGCATGCAAGCGAGAGATGCATCGTCGAAGCGTTTATTTGGAAACGCTTTATTTACATGGTAAGACAGTTGAAATATTTATACACTGTTTATCCAAGTAGATTATCTCTCTCTCCCTCTCCCTCTCCTTCTGCCATGTTGTGAGTTGTGAAAATTTCATTCTTCATGCAAAGCTTCAACACGAACGACGGTGGTGCAGACTAAAAGCAAGAATGCGGCAACCGAACAAGAGCGAGAGAGAGAGAGAGAGATGTAATAAGAAAAAAAACGATCCTGTTTGTTGAGAAAGACACTTTTATTTACTTATTTTCTCGTACGAATATTCAAATTTCCATTCCATCGTTCATTCTTATAGCCATTCACTTATGTGTTGAGTCTGCTCTCTTGTCGGTCTAGCTCTGTGTGTGTCGCTTTCTCTTTCTCTTTCTTGTTTCGGTTTGTATATATTCTTCTTTATTTTGGCTTCAGTGACTTGATTTTCTCCATACACGCAATTTTGAATCGCATTTTTTTTCTTGTTCCGGATTTTATAACGTCATGCATTGCTATGCTGTGCTTCAAGTCAAATGATCCTTCAGCCACTTGCTACATAAAAATTTTAATGGTCTCGATTTCGATCACACTCTATTTCAGTATATCATTGTACTTTGGAGCTGAGTCGTTGCTTCTCGCAGTTTAAGTGTGTTCATTAATGCATATCATGTGACAAATGCTTGAATCTATTGTATTAAGCTCGTCGTTGTCATCATCGCACTCGCACACTCACACTCGTGTGCTGCTCTCTCTCTCTCTCGCTCGCTCTCTGTGTTAATTTTATGCCAAAATCGTATTAACAAATCGTTTCCCATGTTCCAAACAAATAAAAAGCGAAAAATAAACATTTACACGCTTTTGATTTGCAGCATTTATACAGATTCCTCTGCTCTGTGTTGGGTGCTCATGATGTGCGTTGTTTTGCCGCGCGTTTGCTATCTTTGCACGTCTCAGCTGACGCCCCACACTATATATCGACCAGTACCGACGAAAAGAATGTCGACAAAATAAGAATAAATAATGAAAAATTCCCCGAATTCCTTTGCTGCTCGACGCGCACACACACACACATACCGGAGAAAAAAGTGTCGCTTTTTGTCATTTGAATTGGTTTAGTGTCGAGGCGGTTGTGTTACTCTGTAATTTTCCATTTTCGAGTGGCCCGAAGCGCGCGCACGCGGTCGCGCTCATACACAATACGTGTTTGGCTGCACAAAGTGCCTTCGAGACGTCCAACATAGAAAAAAAACGGATCGCTCCAAAGAATAGAGAGAACACAATGAATTTCATTTGCAAAAAGGAAATAAAAACAAAACACCAAGAAAACGAAACAAAAACCAAAGTGAACGACTGCCGGTTTCATTGGTCTCTCGAACCAACCGACACAACGACACA